CTCGCCCTGACTCGATTCTCTCCTCAGCACGCCTGAAGGCTCAGCATCTCAGTCCTGTGTGGACGCAAAGGAGGAGACCAGCCTTACGTGGGTGGTCAGGGACACCTAGGCAAAAGGTGACTTTCATGCAGGGACAGCCTCTGCAGGAGGTGACCTTTGAGCTGAGATCGAAAGAGGAGCCAGTCATGCAACCATCTGGCGGAAGAGTGTTCTGGGCAGGAGAAGTAGCAAGCGCAAAGGTCCAGAGGTGGAAGCAAGCTTAGTGCATCTGGGAAAAGGGAGAAAACAACGTGGCTGAAGGAAAATTAACAGGCAGAGTGGTGGGCCAGGAGGGCGACCAGACAGGGAACACAGGTTTTGTTCTAAGTGGATTTCGAAGCCACTGGAGGTCTTTAAATAAGAAACCAACACGATCTGATTTAAGGATATAAATACGTATGTGTCTAAATGTCTGGAGAATGGGTTGTAAGGGGAATGAATGGTGCAATAATGGATGCGAGAAGAGCAGTTTGAGTCCAAGTGACCTTAGACAAGTCCTTTGACCTCTCTGACCCTCAGTCTCTTCCTCTGTAAAACGAGGATTAGAAAACCCACCTCTGAGGCTTCTGAGAGTTAAGTGATATAATGACTGCATCGCCCCCAACACAAAATAGGGCCCCATTCAATATGGGCCTCTGTTTTCTAGGTGAAGAGCCCTGAAGATGCCTCACTTGTGTTAAATTCTTTTGGAACAGAAGCTTTAATGGCCTTTGTTATTAAAACTCTGAGACATTGACTGATTGCATGAGGTGTCCTGAGACATCCCTGCCAATTAGAACAAAGGGAATTAAGTGATAGCACCATACATAGGATTTGCCTTTGCTGGGAGTTTACAGCCTGTGAGGTAGGCGTGGCTGCACTGCAGACTGCAGGCTGGAAGCAGAGTAATAAGACTGACCATCTTGGACAGCTGTGGTTGCCCGCTGGAGTGGGTGATCGTACGAGCCCCCTGTTCTCTAGGAAATGGTCCCTGCCTCTCACAACAGGCAAATCCACCGACGAAGCTGGTGCCAGTCTGGACGTTTCCGAGCAGCTACCACACTGCAGCAACTGCCCTCTGGACGCACGCATGATCTTATTTCTAGACAAATGCAGATGATCAGCTTTTTCTTTCATGGATGTGTCAAGTGTATTTCGTGAAGTTGTGGTGATTCGTTGCAGGCTGTGTTTCTGTTTTCTCGCCAGTGTGGACAGTTGAAGTGTAATGTTCAGGAGGGTAAACTCGTGAACCTCAAGAGAACATAAAATGAACTCATGTCAAAGATTTTATTAAACGGATTCATTAACGAGAGAACCAGTAATATGTTCAAACTGGGTCAAAGAGCATTTAGGAATCTAGGTAGTTGTAGGCAATTTAATGCAGGATTATTAAGAGAGGATTGCAGGGCTAGTTGTAAGTCTGGTTAAAGTCTGACAAGGTAATAAACTGTAACCTTTCACATTCTTTTCTTACTATTCAGAGATTATTATTAACTAGAAAAAAAAAATCTACAAAATAACATGGAACTTCACTAAATCCTGGCCTTTAATTGGTACTCTTTATAAGATTCTAGAACTCTCTTCCCTCTAAATGCTTCATCTCTGCTAGATTCCGCAGGCTGGAAACGCACTCACACCCCCTTCATGGGACAGTAACTGAGTGTGCAGACTAGCCGGGTCTTGCGGCCCATCTTTGGGACATCTTGGTGGTCATTCTCACCAAAGGCCACCTAATGGGATGGGCAGAGAGTCTCAGAGAGCCTCCTTTTTACCCTACTCTAGAAAGACACAGAGGCTCTCATCTCGGTACTGCGTGTCCCTTTATCTGCCAAAGACTTGAACACAAGGGTATTACATTACTCAGCCTTCTCCACCCATTAACTCAAAAAGCAACCGATGAGCACCTGCTGTGTGCTGGAAGCTGGGGATGCAGTTAGAGCAAGGAAGGTGTCCTCTCCCGGAGCCAGTGCTTTAGCCCGGACATAGACACCAAATAGATGATCATCACGTACTTAATGGATTATATGCGAGTGTCATCAGTCCTGACATGGAAAAGCATTGAGCAAAAAAAATGGGGAGGACTAGGGTAGTCTGAAGGAGTCTGGGTGTCAAGGAATCTTTTTGCAAAGAAGGGACATCTGAGAGGAGTCTGGAAAGATGAGTGGGTCTGACTGGGCACACAACTGCTGACTCTCGGATAGAGGGAACAGCCTGTGGGAAGGACTCAAGCCCCCACAAAGGGTGGTGCTCCTGTGGGGCTGATGAGGAAGTGATACCACAAGCCTGGAGATGTAGGCGGGAGTGCAATCTGTCAGGGCCCTGAAGGTTTGGGGAAAGCAGGGGCTACGGGGGAGCCTCGGAAACTCACAGAGTGGATCATCATATGATCAAAGTTGGTGTCCCCAAACTCAAGCACGGGGAACAGTGCCGCAGCTCGTAAACATTCAGCCAAGGTCGGCTGCCCTTATGAAGGAATACATAGGTGGCCAAGGGGACATGTCGTGGAGTCCCTCACACCCAGAAGGCAATCGGTGTTTATTAGCCCTAACTGGACTCTTTGCTTTTCAGTGTAACCCCATACACTCACTCCGCCTCCAACCAGTGAGATTTGTGCCTCCCTCTCAGGGGAGGGTTTCTGGTTCACCCGGGATGGGAGAGGAGACGCCCACAGGCAGGAATGTCCTTCACAACACACACACCTCTAATGCTTCAGGACCATGTTCCTTCTTTTTAAAAATGAGTTCATTTGAACTCACCCAAGAATGAGTTCAAAAACCTCTCAAGTTTCCATGACAAAGATTTTAAAACAAATGCACCATCCAACCGAGAGCTCATGCCGAGGGGCATGGGCTGGGAGGAAATGGACAGTCTCATTCACGATGGACGGAAGTGTACATGGGTCAACCATGCCCAAGGGCGGTGAGGAAAGGAGGAGCCCTAAGGATTTCACCCACCTGGACATTTCTCTGTGGAAATAGATAAGGAGAATTGCAACTATTTAGCGATGAAGATGATCATCTTAGCACTGTTTGTAATAGCTAAAAACTGGAATTAGCTAGAATGTCCCAGAACCCGGAAGGACAAGCATGGTTCATCCTCACAGTGGAAAATGGCACCACTACTTAAAAAGATACTGAGTGAAGAAAGCTGTTCATGGATGCGGAAAAATGTTCATAATCTATTATTAAGTGGGAAAAAAAAGCAGATTATAAAGCCATATGTAGCATATGATCCCATGAGGTTTTTAAAATACAACTGACTCTAGGTATGTATATGAACAAATATGCACAAGATCTGAGAGGTCACAAACCAAAGGAGTGACAGTGGTTCTCTGAGGCAGGTGACTGCGGCAGGTGTTTTTGTTTTCTTCTATTTGCTTCTCATTGTTTTGTACTCTCTCTGTCCTTGTTTTCGTAGCGAGAAGGAAGTTCCATGTGCAAAACTTATTCAGGATCTCCTAGGACCTCAACTGCAGTAGATTTTATGTGGGATTGTCAGTGTCTGTGAGGAGGATCTGACTTGACTTATGCTTCTCACACAGACATGCAACAGTGTTTCTCTAAATACATAGAGACCTTACCGAGTGTTTAAAATGATACTTTTCAGCAGTTGGACATCTGATTCCGTTTTTGTAACAGAAAAACTTTATGCAAAGAAGTAAATAAAAGCAACACTTCTTAACAAATGTAACGGGATGGCTCAGCATTTTTGCTTTGTTTTATGAGTATAAGAGGTATAACTAACTAAATTTAGTCGAAGGAAGAGAAAAGCAACTGGAGGGATAAATACCAAAATGGTCTGAAAAGTTACCTCTAAGTGGTGGGATTATGGATAATTTTCACCTCTTTTTTCTTTTCTGTATTTCCTAATTTTTCTGTGATAAGTGTGCATTGATATAGTAATAGGCGATTACGTTGAAACCCACAGAAACAAACTGCCTTCCTTTAATTACAGCAAAAATCCACATAAGAAGGAGGTTTACCCATTGCTGCCCCTGAGACAGAGTGATTTTCCTTTGAGGACCATGTGGCTTCCAGAAAGAGCATGAATCTGAGAAATAGGGAGACTGAGTGGGTTGGTTTTTTGTTTTTTTCTTTTTTAAGAATTTACTTATTTATTTAAGAGAGAATGAGCATGAGCAGGGGGAGGGGTAGACAGAGAGGGACAAGCAGACTCCCTGCTGAGCACGGAACCCAACACAGGGCTCAACCCCAGGACCCCAAGACCATGACCTGAGCTGAAGGCAGATGCTTGAGCGACTGAGCCCCCCAGCGGCCCCTGACTGGGTTTTGACCCTGGCTGTGTGACATAGACTAGGCACTAACTCGTGTCTCTATTCCATCACTGCCCCGCTAATGAACACTGACGGAGCATCTCGCATGCACCTGACTGTGTTCTTGATGCTGGGGACAGAGCAGCAAATAAGTGAGATACGGTCCCAGCAGTCACAGAACTTAGAATCCAATTCAGGAGAAAAATAGAGACAACGAGACAAAGAGCACTATGATCATTAGGACAGTGACAGCCAACATTTACTGAGCACCTACAAACTGCCAGGCGCTATTCAGTGAGCTTTACGTACCTAACAACCCTTTTCATTCTTGCCCCCTGAGGAAGATGTTATCATTAGTCCCATTTGACAGACGAGGAAACTGAGGCCCAGAGAGAATAGCTAATTTCCTCCAAGGCCCACAGCTAAGAAGTCACAGAGCCAGGATTTCAATCCGACTATGTGCTCTGCTGCACTCCCCCGAGCAGCTCGTGGTCATCACAAATGAAAACTGTGCCCTGAGAGCACAGTCAGGAGACTCGACAGGTTAGGCTGCCCTGAGGAGATGACATTTCACCAGAGACCCCAAGGATGGGTCGGAATAAATCAGGCAAAGAGTAGGGACAAAAAAAGCCTGTGGGGTCAAGGAAACATAAGAATGTGTTTCTAAGCCAGGGGCTTGGCGGAGCGGTTGTTGGCAACAGTAATAACAATGAATTCTTTCTCCTCCCGTCCCCAGACACTCTTGGCCAGAGCACTTTATGACAACCACCCAGACTGCTCCTACGAGCTGGCTTTCTGCAGAGGAGACATCTTGACCATTCTGGAACAAAACGTGCCAGAAAGCGAGGGCTGGTGGAAGTGTTTGCTCCACGGGAGGCAAGGTCTGGCCCCTGCCAACCGCCTCCAAATCCTCCCTGAGGCCCCCGCCGACAGGCCCTGTCCCCCTTTCCTGAGAGGCCTGGAGGAAGCTCTCGCCAACTCCGAGGAGACCTACCAGGTGCCCACCCTGCTCAAGCCCCCGACTCCAGGCCCTGTATATGAGCACATGAAGGGCTGGGTAGAGGGGCCTCCAACCACCACCGCGCAAGTCTACGAATTCCCTGACCCACCTGCCCGTGCCAGAATCGTCTGTGAAAAGACTCTAAGCATTCCGAAACAGGTATGCATGTTTCCAAATAAAACAGAAGGGTCGAGGGATATGTAACGCCCAGGGGCTGACCTCGCCCTTGAGTTCTTGGTGTCCGTTGGGAGGATCAATGTGCGAAGTGGAACCTGGACCCCTTTGATTGGGTGATGATGGGGGACCTCGTATTTGGCCCCCAGTTCAGTTCTCACTAATATTTTCGGCACTCCAGGGATTCCCCCACCCCATCCCCCGCCCCCTGCTCTCCAAGACATCCCCACTTGGCAGGAAATTGAAAGCTTAGTAGAGCTGTTCATGAAAGTATTAAGGACTTCCACCATGGCCTTTTTGGACACTAGGACTTCTAGTGATCGGTTCAAAGGCAAGAAATTACCCAACAGATTTAACATCTATATTCCCTTCAGCCAAGAAACGTTACTTCCAGAATTGCTACAGAAATACCCAAGGAGGCAAACATATATCTGGGTGAGGAGGCCATGGCCATAATAGCATTTTTTTGTTATAGGGAAAAATCTAAGATGCCTAAATGTTTGTTAATGGGGGGATTGGTTGCATAAATGTTTGTTATCCCTACAACATACTAGGCACTTGTCAAAAAAAGATGAAGTCGTTCTAGGAGGCATGTATAAGGGAGAACAAATAACCATTTAAACAAAACCAACCAAACAAAAACTAAAAAAAAAAACCCCAAAAAACCCAAATGATCTGTGTGTATATATGTGTGTGCCTACCACTGAAAGAACACACACCTACAGAGGTCCCCTTGGGAAGTGGAGTTGGTCACTCTTATGTTCCCTGTACCTGCCACTGTGCCTGGCCCGGGGCGGGTGCCCGGTCAATGAGCAGAGAGATCAGGAAGTTGACTTGTGTGTTCTATACAGTATGTATGACTTCTGCAATTTTCAAAAACAGCAATTAAAAAAAAAAAGACAGAGGAAATGAAGCACTAGGTAGATGCAGAATGAAAACTTTTTTTTTTAATGGAAAGGAATTTTTTTTTTTTTAAGATATTTTTTATTTATTTATTTGACAGAGAGGTAGAGAGCACAAGTAGGCAGACGGGCAGGCAGAGAGAAAGGGAGAAGCAGGCTCTCTGCTGAGCAGGGAGCCCGATGCGGGGCTCGATCCCAGGACTCTGGGATCATGACCTGAGCCGAAGGCAGCCGCTTAACCGACTGAGCCACCCAGGCGCCCCGGAAAGGAATTTAAAGAAGAAAGGAAAAAAAATAATGTATTGCTGTCCCCAGGCCCGGGCCTTGATGAGGTGTTAAGCACGCAGAACAGATTAGCCTGGTCTTCTGTCACTGTGGGTGTTTCCTGCACACTTTGCTTTCGGCTCAAAGGACACATCCCACCTGGCCCCAGCTCTGGGCAGGGGTCCTGGCAAGGTCTGCGTCCAGGAGGGGTGCTCCCTGCCCCCCACCTGTGAACCCCACAAGGAAGCTGGTCACGCCTTCTGCAGCAGCCCATGAGGCGGACCCCCGGAACGGCTGGCCCACGGGGAGGCCTGGCACGCTCAGCTGCTGTCTGAGCAGCTGACTCAGAGCAGGGCCTTGGTGGGGGTTCCTCCACGAGCAAGTAGTCTCTGCCGAAGTTAAGTTGGGTTTCCCCCCTCCCCAAAAGGCACACGGGGGCCGTGTCTTCTGTTCACCGGGTGTCCCGGGCACCCGAGCCCAGGGAAGGCTCCTACCGCTTCAACGTTTGTTAAATGAATGAAGTGACCGTGGACCCCAACTTCTAGATGGGCATCGCAACAAAGAGAACAATGCGTTTACTCTCTAAACCTAACTTGGCGAAGGGTCAGGGCATTGGCTGGGAGATGTGCCCTCCACGTGAAGCGTGTCTGTGTTGGGAGCACCCCCCTCCTTGTAAGGCTGTGGCCGTGGACAGAAACCACAACCACGATGGGGAATTCAGAAACCAGGGGCTCTTGCGGTGGGCCCGGTAAGACACCTGGGGAAGTTTCCTGCCTTTTTCTCCTGCTTCCGTTTACTCCGTGGCTGCCCCATCTACATTTTTCTCCCTCCTCCCACACTTTTTGTTTATATCGCCTTCTCTGCGCTTGCAGGGGCAGGGGGTTGGGAGGGGGGGTCTCTGAGAGCAAGAAATGTCAGCTGTGGCTTGGAAATCAGCAGTGTGGGGTCACCTGGCTTCCGGGGCAGCCACGACCACGCTGGGAGAGTGGGCCCATCCCAACACGCCTCCATACCTCTGTCTTGCCACGTCACTTCTAAGTGCTCCTTGAAGCTGTGCCTTCTGGTGATTCTAAATAATTCCACTCCTTCTTCTACCCCAAGAAGGAAGGAGCTAGAAGAAGTGGATGAAACCCAGTTTAGAAGCTTCTGATCCGAGTAGTCTGGGGGTTAGCCCTGACTCCTTGGTGGGCAGAAGTGCGCGATAGAACTAGGCAAATCCAGCCACTAGCTTTGAGCTGTTTTCCAACGGGCAGTTCACAGGCATGGAACTGGCCCAGGTGACCCATCACAGACTCCCCGCAGCCCTGCATGGACGATCACTAGATTAAGGTTGGCCAAAAATTAAAAACCAAGAAAGGTGAAAATATGTCACTTTTCTCGAGTTGTCTAATCAAGGAATCCACGTGTCCGGATCAGATGTCTCTATCGCCGGAAGAGGCCTCGGTGGGTCTTGAGAATGACTTGTCGTGCTACGAACGAGGGAACTAATTTCCAGGGAGGTGAAGTGGCCCAGCCAGGGTAACAGGGGGATGAGTACCAGGGACCAAAACTTCCTTGTGCCCGCACGTGGCTGCCCGTGCCCTTAGACTCTGCATGCCCTTGCTCTTCGTTTTCCTGACTCGGTGGCTGACGCTATCTATTCTTCACAATTAGCTTTTTACCGAGACGTAACCTACAGATCCTAAGGGGATATAGCTTGGTCACTATTACCCAGGTCAAGAAACAGAACAAAACTAGCACCCCCAGAAGCCCCCTCACGCTTTCTTCTGGTCACTTCCTCCAGGGTAACCACTGTCCTTGAGCTTTGTTTTACTTTTTATTCCAACTTCCTTAATGTAATATGCCGGCCTGACTTTTTTTTTTTTTAATCACCATACAAAGAATATATTTGATGTTGGTTTGAATTCAGAAAGGGGAATCTTTCGTATTTCAAGTGAAAAGGGTCCAACTTCCTGGTGGAATTATTCTCAGACCCACTAGTTCCTGAACTGGAGTTTCCTTTTGTCCGCCTAAACCTTTTGAAATTGTGGTTCTCAAACATGTTCCTTAATGGATTGCCACCTTGAACCTCTGTGTTCCAAGAAACACTGGGCATTTCTGAACCAGCTTCCTCCACTTGAAATTCCACACACACACACACACACACACACACACACACACACACACACACACACGAGAAAGCCCTTTTGTTCTCTGTGGGTGGTCTACCCACAAAGTCAGCTGCAGAAAGACAAGGGGCTTAGGGTCTTAGAGGGTAAGAGGCAATGGGAGTGCATTTGGAAAAGCTCTGTGATAGGGGACAGAATAAGACAGAGGTGGAGGTGACGGCCTATGGCCTGGCAATTGGACAGGGCAGGCGTGTCAGGAGCTTGGATTTAACCCAGCGTGGAGCATAGACCAATCAGCCTAAGACCAGAAGGACAAAGTCAGCTTTATTGCCCCACTGTAGAGAGAGTGTTCACAGAGCAGAGGAACCGTGGGCTGTCTCACAAACAGAGGATAAGGGAGTATAATTAGTTATGGGGTTGGGAAAAGGTGACGTGAATACAAAGGCCTGTCTTGATAGGCTCTATGCACAACAGGGCAGTGTGTAAAGGGCTCAGCATCAGCCCAGACTGCAAAGCAGGCTATTCTGTCTTTGGGACCCTCCAGGCTGAGGTAGATGGGGAATGTCGCATCTGATATCTCGTGTCACAAGCTCTGTGTTGGGGACGGAAAGTGAGCCTGCTTCTCTGATGAGAGTGGGATGTTTCCTTCTCATTGATAGAACTTCAGACTGCAATGCTCCCAACAGCCTAGGATTTTAGAGAACCAGCTTTCTGTGTGAGTGAGGAAGCAGTCATCATTTGGAGGGAGGTTATTTCGACACTCAACAGCTGACTGTGTCCTGGGGAGGAATGTCTGTCCTGTTTGCTTTGCGGCTGCTTTATCTGCATCCGTCATTCCAGCCTGATCAGTGGTGGGACCCACTGGTCCCCTACCAGTGCCTCAAGCTGTACACATTCTTTCACCCAAAACGAGCAAATAAATAAGTAGATACTCGCATTTCCTTCATGCCACGCTGGGTCGCCCTTGTGAACAAAGGGACTCTGATCTAGTCCTCATAAGCTGCTCCTCTACCTGGACTGCCCTCCCTGGCTGCACATATTCAGGTCCTCACCATCCACGTGAGCCAGTTCAGAAAACCCTTTCCAGTGACAGGTTCCTGGGGACCCAGTGGGAAATGCAGTCTCCCTCCACCAACTCTCTGGACTTGACCCTTTCCTCTCCTCAAGGCCCTGTCTCGTTTTCCAGCCTGTGTCCTGGCTGTGTCCCCACCTTATTTCTCCCCCGTTAGACCTTGACCCTGGCAGACAGCACTCACTCCCTTATAAAAATCACCCATTTCCAGGCCCGTCCTGGAGATGTCCTTGTTTGAGAGGTCTGATGTGGAGCCAGGCAACCGTATCATTTTGAAGTTCGCCAGGTGGTTGGTTCCCTGGCCAGGTCTGGAAGCTGCGGCCCCTGGAACAGCCAGCGTGGTACCCGGTGTAGAGTGGACATTCATGAGTTCTGGAGGATTCACTGGAATCCAGTTATAGGCACAGCCTCCAAGGCTGAGGGCCACCTTGGTCTGGTCGCCTCCTGCTGCGCCATCGACCCTCATCCCCAGCAACACATCCTGTGACAGGCCCCTGCTCCCTCCCTGCCCCCTTGAGTCTCCACTTCACACCCTTTGAGCCTCTCCTGTCCAGCTCACTGCTGCATCCCCAGCATCATCAGATGAACACAGTAACACCCCCAGATTGGAATCATAGCCCCGAATCCCTCGAGAACTTCAGAATCACCTGGGAAGTTCACTGAAACTGCAGATTCCCAGGCTCCCCAGCAGGACTCAGAGACTCCAGTACAACTGACACGGGGCCCAGGAATCTGCATTTGAGCCTGCTGCCCAGGTGAGGCTGACGCAGGCAGCTGTGGGCCCCCACGTGAGGAAGACTGGCCACCACCACGGGGCCTCCTCTCCCACGTCCTGGGTCCACGGTCTGAGCGAAGGACTGCCAGTCAGGGGTGCAGGGACATGGCCTCCATGCTGTCGGGCTGCCTTTGTTGTGTGAGGGTAACTTGGAACATGATCTGTGGACTCTGCAGTAATGTCTCCTTCCCTTCGCTCTTCTTTGTCTCCCAAGGCCCTCTTCATGATCCCCAGACCTGCTTGGGCCTCGTTGCCAACGCTGCCTTCCCAGGTGTATGACGTACCGGCCCAGAGCCGGGGCCCCCCAGCCCTGAAGGTGAGTGTCGGCCCTGGTTCTGCCCGGCCTGTGGGGTTCCCCATGTCAGGCAGATTGCTGTTCTACATTCCCACAAGTGCCGCCAAGCCTCTCCTCTCTCCGCCTCTCCTCTTCCTGCACCTGCACCTGTTGCTGAGCATCTCCTCTCCTCTCCCCACACCTGCACCTGTTGCTGAGCATCTCCTCTCCTCTCCCCGCACCTGCACCTGTTGCTGAGCATCTCTTCTCCTCTCCCCGCACCTGCACCTGTTGCTGAGCATCTCTTCTCCTCTCCCCGCA